TGCTTTTGATTAGATTTCYTTCTRTTAAAATATTTCTTCATCTTTACATCATTCTGTACGACATGTATAATTTAATGGTATTTTTAATGCAGTATTTGATAACCTTACAACCCATTTTCCGAAAAAAATATTTGTATATTAAATCTGGTCATAATAAACTATTATCACTTTAACATATCAGTGATATCATTCTGCTGAAATTTAATTGCTATATACATGCATCCCTACTTGCACCTACTATACACAGGGTTACCACAGCTAATGGCTGGACACTCTGGCTCATGCAGTGACCACTGCCTGGCAGGCTGTACAGATAATTGACTTTAATATRGGTACTATATTACACAGGTTTCCCACTGTCAAATGCTAGACTGCTCATGCAGCCGACTGTCTTTCTTGCTGCCTGGTAGCCTGTACAGCCCAGATAATTGATGTTCCATGTTCCAATATGAGTGCTATATTACACAGGGCTCCCACTATCAATAGCTAGGCACTGCTCAGTGACTGTCATTCTCTTTGCCTGTTAGGCTGTACAGATTATTATTGACTGTACCATTGTTGTTCTCTTTGTCTGGTAGACTGTACAGATAATTGACTGCATGGTCCAATATGGCTACTATGTTACATAGGGTTCCCACCATCAAATGCTAGGCACTGCTTAGTGATTGTCATTCTCTTTGTCTGGTAGGCTGTACAGATAATTGATTGCATGGTCTAATGTGGGTACTGTATTACACAGGGTTCCCACTATCAAATGCTAGACACTGCTCAGTGACTGTCGTTCTCGTTGCCTGGTAGGCTGTACAGATAATTGACTGCATGGTCCAATATGGGTACTGAATGGCTCAACCACTGTCGACCGACAGCAAAACATAGCTTTAATTGTCCGTCTGAACTCTGGGAATCGCGAAGAGTAAACAATTGGGTTGACAAGACTATTACTATAGTGTAACAGTTTAAAAAAGTTCAGATATGTGTATGGCACACTTGTACGACATTTTACACACAAGAACATCACAATGTTCAGTATGTGAAAAGGCATCCACGTGAAGATAAAAATGATTGTAATAATAGCCAAAGTAACGGCTAGTTTATTCTCATTTTTACGCTCCGTAGAGGT